ACTTCTTTCCTTTATTTTCCTTTACACATTTGGAAACTTGCATGGTGCACTTTCACCCCCACCCTCCACAAATTACGAAGCTATTAAGTCGATTAGTAGGTACAAGATGTCTGTGTGTTGATGACTACTGCGTTGTAAAGGCTTCTCGTACGTAAAATGGGGGCACATTCCCAGTAAAAATATCTATTTACACAGAGCTGACAAAATTCGCCTGCATGTGTAAATATATGTTGGGATTTGGAGAGAAAAAAACTCGTAAAACATACTGAATTTACCGTGACAGGAGTGATCAATTTTGGTGCCGATTGTTGGTGGGCTGATCAGCATGTCGGATTATTTCTGAGAACGTTCTTCGTGTGGGAAATCACAAAATCATTAGCACTAAGTAAGGTGGTTTACCTTATTTTTGTGTCAGAGTACCTCGTACAAATGATATGAATCGACATGCGATGATTACCAATTTGACAATCGGTGTCTCGTTTGTTCACCGCCCCTCAACACAGTGATTTGTTATGACGATTTGTTATGAGGGGTATTTTTTCCCGGCCCTTTTCGTCTGAAATTACAAATTCATTGGTTCTAATATATCCTAGTTTACTTTAGTTGTTTCATTTGATTATTCTGTACATTGATTTTACCTAGCAAAGGAAACAATCGGTGTCTGGCTTTGTTTTATTTACACTATTGCAACACCTTATGTGGGCCCCCAGCGTGAGCCTCGTGTTTCACTATTTTTTTCATTGAATATTACACCGCACGATATCCCTCAAATCGGAAGGCTCATTTATTGCTTGAGTTACTGTTCCTATTAAGTTAAGCCATGGAGCAAAAAAGAAAATATGGTTAAGCTGAATACCATGCTTCATGTGGAATGTACAGACCGTGATGTCGGCATTAACTACTGGATGCACATTGGAAACCACTGGGGCAACGCCACGCTGACCGGCATCTCCTGCCTGGTAAAAAAACATTCGGGACGGGGTGCAGGGTTTTAAGTCGTCGTAGATGTTTTCGAAACAAAAATTAGCGAATAGGTTTTGTTTCGAGCCACTTAAATGTCCTGTGTGTATTTTTGTGCCGGTACTCATCGCGTGCGACGTGCCCCAGATAGTGTCAATTTATACGCAGTAACAAATGAGACGCGTTGGGGATTACTTTGAATTTTATGTACCGAGAAGTACGTCTGCCGTAAATTATTAATATTTGTTATGGTACTGAGCTGTAGGATGGTTGTAATTTTACCATGTTGATTTTCGGGATATACAAACCAATCAAAAAGATTGTGATGCCTTCCTTATTAATATACATAACTGAAAATAAATAAAAATAATATTTATTGACACACATATTGATATTAAGAGTGGTTTGAATTTTAGATATTTAGATTGTGATTGTTTGTCAGAAATTTACATAGTTGTTCTTGCTACTAAACGTTTTCCGTGTTAACTAAATTTCTAAAATGTTTTTAAATGCCCTATAAGTTAATTTTGGGCATTATTTGTTTACTATTTTTTGTTGCATTTCATTTTCCCCATTGTTTTATGAATTATTTCAGTTTTCTTTTCAATGTTTCAATTTTGTGTAGACTTTTTATGCATATTTTTAAGTAGGCTTATTGTAGGTATACGATGTCTGTGTGTAGATGACTACTGGTGGCTCCTTATTTAACAGATTATTCATAATTTGTTTATCATTTTCAAATATTCCCAAATATTATATCATGGTCCCTATTCCCTCAGCACACGGGAGTTCTTTCTAAGGTTTCTTTGATTGTGTTTTTTGTGGTCAGCATGTTATGCATCATGCTTGTTTGGCACCGGTACATGTATGCTTGATGTATGTTCTAAACTTTCAATCAATTTGAAGCTCAACTTATAAATGAGATCATTTTCTCAATTTTTCAACACTGTCATACTTTACCCACAATCCTTTGATGAAGAATCAAAAGGGTGGATTACATAAAATGATGAAAAGTTGAAATCTTGATATAAAAAAACTTGTAAATTGCATTATCTTAAATTTACATTTCATCTGGGAGAATCACATTAGCCTTTACTTTTCCTTTCATTAGCTTCTCAAGTTCAGGATAGAATTACTGGTCATCTGATCTTTGACATAGCATATTCATCAATATTGTTAAATACGCCATGCATGGTTTGGTCATTGAGTGATTTTCACAATTCTGACAAGTTATTAACGTAAATGACCTGTGATGATAAAGTTCATGCACCACGCATATTTCTATGAATGAAAAGACGAACTTTACCCACTTGTATCTGAGGTCAGGTTCAAGCACTGTTTCTGTGTAGTTTACTAAATTTTATCATGTTAGTTGATTTCATGTGTAGATGTAGTCAATAGATACATTCATGAATGCATTGTAACCGAGCCGATACTCGGTTCTCAGCCAATTGCATCTTTCTCACAAGGTTGTGAAAATCAACTTGCATTTATGGCTGTATTGGTCAAATTCATTATTATTTCGCTATGTTTTACAGATTTCATCACAGACATCGGGTGTCTCCAAGAAAGAACTGGACAGTAGACCTGCAATGTTGTATTTAGGTACGTTTCTATTGTGGTTGAATTGTTTAGCAGGAGTCAGTATTGATCTTAATGAAATAATCAATTTATTTCAATAAAACACTTTGGTAAAAATATTCAACATCCCTTCACAATTTATTCCTTTTCTGAGATGGTTTGCCTGCAAGAAAAATACAATATCACTTCATCTGTTCTCTTCCTGTGATGGTTTGCCCCACATGAAAAATACAATATCACTCCATCTGTTATCTTACTGTGATGGTTTTGCCCCACATAAAAAATACAATATCACTCCATCTGTTCTCTTCCTGTGATGGTTTGCCCCACATAAAAAATACAATATCACTCCATCTGTTCTTTCCTGTGATGGTTTGCCCCACATAAAAAATACAATATCACTCCATCTGTTCTCTTCCTGTGATGGTTTGCCCCACATAAAAAAATACAATATCACTCCATCTGTTCTTTCCTGTGATGGTTTGCACCATATGAAAAAATACAATATCACTCCATCTGTTCTCTTCCTGTGATGGTTTGCCCCACATAAAAAATACAATATCACTCTTTCTGTGATGGTTTGCCCCACATAAAAAAATACAATATCACTCCATCTGTTCTTTCCTGTGATGGTTTGCCCCACATAAAAAATACAATATCACTCCATCTGTTCTCTTCCTGTGATGGTTTGCCCCACATGAAAAAATTTGCAGACAAATTCAATGTATAAATTGTTTTTCTGTATTTAAATGACCTGTGATGATAAAGTTCATGCACCACGCATATTTCTATGAATGAAAAGACGAACTTTACCCACTTGTATCTGAGGTCATGTTTAAATAGTTGATAATTCAAAATATAATATAATTGCAAGTCTGAGTGAGACGCTATTAGGCAGTAGTCAAGACAATAAGTAAATCATGAATAACAGTTATTTTCAGTATTAGATAGCATGAAAGCATTTTCACACAGTGACTTCCCAGTTAAGGAAAACAGTTTGTCTTCTGTTACATGTTGGGCGCCCTCTAGTGTCTGATATTACAAGTCTTGCGCCCTCTAATGTTAATTGAAGGCCCTGTAGAGTTCTGGATGGACATACTGTAGCAATTTAATTCATGTTGTTCACAAATTAGCAAACATCATTTTTTTGTAGATTCCTCAGATGAAGCAGATGAAATGGATGAATTATTGCCAAGTCATTCAGAATCTGAAGTGAGTTCAGTTTATTCATAAATACTTGTAATCCAGTGTGTGGAAAATGGCTGATCCTTGTGGACAAGATTACATACCTCCAACTTAAGACCTGTGATGATAATGTTCATGCACCACGCATATTTCTATGAATGAAAAGACGAACTTTACCCACTTGTATCTGAGGTCCTCTTCTTCATGGAATTGTTCTATAATCAGTTGTCTTAAATTTTCTATTAGTAATGCATCTTGAATAGCACACATAAACCAATAATTGCTATTGTATAAAATGAGACTTATCTATATAGACTGTCATTAGCATTAATGTGGTATTTCAATCTGTAGTTACTAGATCTTTATTAAATAACCTAGATACTGTGTTCTGATTGGTTATCTTCCACGTCTTATTGTAACACAAAATAAATAGCGACAATTTTATCAAATCAATTATAAAAATATTTGTAATTGAAGATTTTACAGGTGTTAGTTTGCAATCTGGCAAAAATATTATCGCGAGTAACATAAACTAAATGAAATTCAGTAAGTTTTGATTAAACTTTGTTAACTTGTGGAAGTTTTTAAGGCCTTTGTTGAATAATTGTGTAAAAATTGATGTGGCATTTCCAAACCGTGCATGTTAATGGCATTGGACTGATAATCAGTGTCTCAAATATTGTGGGAACTATGAAAATATGTGATCATATCTATAAACAATCTGTTGCATGGGACCCATATATCAAACATGTTCTGACAACTGTCATGCTTTAATCGTGGTGGTGATAAGTGTTAATGCGTTTTATTTTACAGGGAGAATGGGAGGAATTGTCAGACATGGATGCAGAGGATGGAAATGATGAAGAGGAAGATAAGCAAGATGATAGTAGTGATGAGGGCTAAAAATCAAGAATTCTATGAATGAAATATCATTTTGGGCATTTATAGAATTTGTAAATACAAGTATTTTGGAATCATAAGTCAATAGTGATTGTGATGCTAGCTAATAAATGACACCTTGCTTTCATGCAAATTACTTCCTATTTAAAAGAAAATTTGGCTTTATAGATTGCAGCCATGTTTTTGGGTTTTCTAATCGATTTATTGACAAGTCTGAGTTTTACTGATGCAGTGTAGAAATGCGCATACTCCACTCTCTGCTTACAAAGGTCGCTTATTTTTGTTTTTCACGAACACAAGGCAATCTGTGTTATAAGTGTTATTCACACAAACATTAACCTTCCAGCTCTTTACACGTTTGTGTGCATAGCCTGTTTATCATTAGACCGGCCGTGTCTGTATTCATTGGGTCCCACAAAATATTTTTTTTCTTCAGTATTATGCTTACTTGTTAAAGAGCGCGAAAAATTGTTGACGTGCTAAGAATCATTTTTTGTCAAAAGGAAATGCACTACTCCATTGGGCAGACACAAGTTCATAGTATACTATTATTGTATACTGTAAAATGACTAATTTTCACTGGGTTTAAATTTCACTGATTTACCATTTCAGGCATATTCAATGGGTTTTAAATTCACGGTTTCGTCATTTAGATAATGTGTTCTATGCTAAATTTTACATATTCACTGTGTTGTAATTTAGCGCATTTTTCCAGTCAGTGAAATAAGCTAAATTAAAACCCAGTGAATAATTACCCCATTTACAGTACTTGAAACAGTTGTAATGATAGAATAACTTTTGTCTGGGGCAAGATTTACAACAAGTGAAGATGGTTGCCATTAACACTTTGAATATCTTCTATAATTCAACATAATTTATTTCTTTTTTTCTTTTGATCATGGTCAGTAGTCATTTGGAAATTTGCTTTAAAATTAAGAAAGAAATTATGTACTTAAGAATGGTGCACCAATGAGGCTGGGAAATGTTGCTATGTTTGCTGATAATCATTACTCTACCCGATAGCACCTTCAAGTACTGTGCGAGTCGTGTCAACTAGATTCCGATGGCCTTAGATTGAAGAGGAGCAATCTTCCACAAAAAGTTGTACTAAAATGTAAAGTTGGAGCTGTAACGGAATGCTTCTATGCAGAAAGACGTAATTTTGATTTAAAGAGTTTGTTTACAAATAAATTCATTTCATTTGAATATACTTCGGTATTTGCGCTATTAGAAGTGCACATAAAAAAAAAACTTATTGTGACGCACATTTTTGTCTTAAATGCATATGCTTACTAATGGAGCAAATAGCTACGAGGCAATGAACTGTAATTTGTTTTATTACAATCTTTTTTCATAGTTTTCAAAATTCCATCTTGCCATAGTGATTTTTCATTTGACATAACAAAAAATGTTGTCTAATAAGTTGACTGGTATGCTTCTGGCAGCAAGCACGCCCGTTGCCAGCCAGACCTTGGTACCTTGTTTAATTGCATGGGATGGGTTCCCAGCATTTCCAGCAGTGTCTGTTCATGAAAGTCAGTTGTATCACATTTGATAATTTAGTTCATTAAAAAAAAGATGTCTGAACTTTGAAAAAGGCTTTAGACAGTTTCACTTGAAACTAGTGCTATTGTATCCATCCATATGTCCTGTTCTGCCTTTCATATTTTGTCTTTAAATGAATATTGTGACAAAATGTAGGGAATAGCATTCTATCACTTCTGGTTCAAACACAATTCAGCATATTTAGTCTTCCTCAATGCACTATGGTGAGGTATGTTGCAGTTCTTTCATTGCATCATGGGATTATTTACTTGGCTTACAAAAACATTATTGAAAAATCTCAACCTTGCGATGCCTCATCAGCTGTTCTGCTCATCTAAAGATGAACTGTACTTTTATATAATTCATAATTTTGAATTATTTTTTAAAATGACTATTTTATTTACTGCATATGGTTTTTCAATCCAAGAATCACTTGAGACTGGCAAATATCAAATTAATAGTAAAATTAAACAAATCATGTCCATGGCTGTAATATTTTTATGCCAAAACTAAAAAATGTTTTATTTCCTACTGTTTGTCACTTTAAAACAAACTCCCAGTATGGCACTTTTGGGGAAACTGAGTTGTAATTTAAGTTTCAATGAAATAAAAGTGATTTTCATGGTGCCTGTAATCCAGGTCTTTTGTTGTTCCTTTTCC